TTTTTTTTTTTTAAATTGAGATTTACAGGAGCCAAAGTTAGRCCCTTGCAAGAGTTTTCAGGATTATTTTATTTTGGGATAATAGTAGAGTATTTAGAAACAAACAGAAGTGTAGCTAGTTTGGGAAATATGAGAAGGAAAGAAATTTGTAGTTGTCCATAGGAAACTTCTGTGTGAGAGATGCACCTCTACAGAAAAGATGCACGTAATTCAAAAATGAATAAGTACGTAATCCTTAAGGTGGTACTGATAGCAGCCAAAACACAAACTAATTCCACTGATAGGTCTGAGAGAAAAAATAGGTATTGTAGAAGAAAATGAAAASAGCCATGAAGGGAGGACAAGTGATTTGTTTTCTCTAGCATGGAAAAAAGAAGTTAAATGATTTGTAGCAGTCTCACTTGAATGGTTGAGTAGGACCAGCTTTAATTTGTCAAAGTAAAGGAAGAGATGTTACGGGAATAGGAGTGAGATGCTGAGAGTCGTAGAATATATGCTTARAGGAAGAATGCCATCTGTTTTAAATCTCACATAGCAATTGGCAAGCTAGAGGAAGGAGCTGGCTGTATAAATCTGGAGAGTGCCTTGGTTGTGGGTCTGAATGAGAAGCCATAACAACAAACTGTATGGGTCAAGGTGAGACGCCAAGGTTCAAGCGTTCACTTTGAGGCGTGGGGAATCTTAATCAGGTACCTGGGCTTCTTCAGGAAAGGCCGTGAGAAAGATGTGCTGAGGTCTTGTACAGAAGGGTGCTCTTCTCACCTAGAAGTCTGATGAGTGAGCTGTTAACCATAAAGGTAAATAGTCACCTTATTTCTGCAAGTTGGATTTGGCTGCAAACAAATTTTCTGTGCAAAAGAGAACTGCACTACGGATGAGGGCAGAATGAAGGTGATGAGTGAAGAGCTAAGGCAGGATTTGTGAATTCAGCAAGGCATATCTTGGAAGGTGTAGGTAATGGTGCTGAATGTAGCTGCTGGGTGGGGACAAAGAACAGTGGTTGGTTTTGACAATGGTGTGATCAGTCTTAAAGGGCTTGTCAGTGAGCAAGGAGCAATGGACCATCTCTTAAAAACATGCTACAATATAGGGATAGGTCTTAACACTTGGGTTGTATTCCTTCATGATACAAACAAAGGAGTTTCCACATTTCCACTGGAATGCAGGAATATCTGGAATAGGTCTGGGCTTCAAAGGAAGAAATAGAAATATCTATTCTCAGTTGAACTGCAGGGGGAGCTCTGGATATACAGTGTGCAGTTGCATTGATTAGAATTTTCCCAAGATGTGAGACTGAACTTCTGTTTTCTCAATATTGCCTCATGAAATGCTTTTTATTAATATATTTTTAAAAAAGCTTTTAATGAAAAATGCAGCTAATATCTTGGTATGTGGATTGTTACATTCTGCCAGACTTCTGTTAAATATGTGTACCTGAACGCATGGCTGCTCTGAAAGACAACTTTAGCAGCTTTTAAAAGACTCATGGCTGAGCTCTGAATGGAGTTTATGCTTGMGAGGTGTGTTTACTACTACCAGTATTACTAACTTCTTTTAGTATTTAGAACTCTTCCAAGTATTAGTCAGATCTGAAGCTACAGAGCTTTTGAAACTTGTTTAGTATACACCTCACAGGTTCTTTATATTTGATTTAAATGTTTTGTCACAATGGCGACACTTCTAAATGCCACTGTATGACTGACACTCAGAAGCAATGACCTCTGATGCTTGACATCCTGTTTTAGCTACAGTTGAGGTTGTTACAGTTAATACCTGTAAGTTTAGTCATGCCTTGGTTAATGTTGGTCAGACACGTGTGAAGTTAGGCGAGTGTGCTCTCTGGATGTTGCTTTACTGAAGAATGTGCTATTGAGTAGTAAGTGATGCGGTCAGGAAGAATCAGTGTACTTGGCAGATGGCTGTAAAGCCTGATCTATTTTTAGTGTAATGACAGTAAAGACAATTGTCTCTCCAATCAAGTGACTGTTCCTTGACTTTCAAGAAAAACTTAATTAATAGCATAGAACTATGCCTATTATCTTTGGGTCTAATTCCCTTAAACCAGTGGTTGCAGTCCCCAGGATCCCTATAAATAAACTAACACTGCAAGCTTTAAAGAGAAGAGAGATCTCCAGATAGTGCTTGTTGAACCAGTATGTTCTTGAAAGCTCAAATATCTGCATTTACTCTGCTCATGTGAACCTCTAAATGTAAAGCTCTAATTTCTCAGATTTTTTTTTATTCTTTTAGATGGTRAAAGGGAATTATTTCACCACTTTATCTGCCATTGTTTTGCTTTGGGCTTTCTTGATTTCRCAGGTTTCTTTTGGCAGGGGGGCTTGAAAGATGAGCTTATCTGAGGCTTTGCCAATTATTTCTCTTATTTTCATGCAAGTTATTACAAAGGAAGACCAAATGTTATTTTTCTAATGTTTTTACTATTTCACAAAAGTAGGTTGGTTTCCTAGTTGTGTACTTGGGGTTTTTTTCTTATACAATCCCACTTCAACAAGTATTTTAAGAAGATAACCTGAAATAACTTTAGAACTATGTTTTGAAACTCCAATGTGTACCCATTTATAAGCTGCATGATTAAAATAATTTTTTGCATATGTAATTGTAGATTGGTTAAAATCAAAACACATGTATGATTTGCAGGTAGTTAAATTCATATGCTCTATTTTCATCTTCACTAGAGAAGTTCTGTGATATTTAGCTTTCTCCACAAGATGGCAATAGAAAGCTGTTGTAGTAGCTGGTAGCTGAATACTGTAATAGTACCAGATTGAAATATGTCAGATTAATGACTGGCTTCTGTTTGCACAGTATCTCTAAGAATRCTTATATATTTTCTTGTATTCCAGAGTGACCTAAAGCCTTCGGAAGCAAAGAAGAAAATCCAGCATGTTACATGGCCATGAAGTAGCTAATGGTGCTTATAACATAAATATTCCATATTTTCAAATAGATAGGTCACATTTAAACAGTTTAAATAAAAATCTTTTTAAAACTTACAGARATTCAGATTGCTGTGAAGTTTTAACAAGTTTAACAACTCCTTGTTGTAAAGCTGGAGTCACTATCACCAGTCACCTTAAAAGTGTCCACTCTTGTACACCAAGTAGTTAATTACTTCTTTAAAAGGTGGTGATGTTACACTATACTAAACCTCCCACTCTTAGCTTTCAAGATTATTATAGTTCATCTCCTCCATGTCACTGTGATTCACACATTGTTTCACTAAGATTCGGGTTTGTTCTACGTCTGGTTAAATAGTTAAAATAGCTATTGAAATTTAGAGTGATCCCTAGAGCCTTCTTGGCCTTCTTGGCTTTAAAAAGGTAATTAATTTAGGTGAGAAAACTGACCATTCTGCTGATAAGATAGTCTACAGCAATTTTTTTTTTCTTTTTGTTCCACAGGAGTGTAGAATTTGCAGTGCAAGTCAGGTTGGTAATAAGAGATGAACTATTTTAACAGCATTGCTTCAAATTGAAGTTTCTCTTGATGTATGAAAATAAGGAATGCATAGATGGAAATACGCAATTAGACTCTTTGATAGGAAACTTCGAGAGGAAGTAGTGGATGGATTAGTGCCATGTTCTCTTAAGTACACAGACATATTTCATACATGCATAAATGTAAAAATGTGCCAATGTAGCAAATCTGATTRTTTTCCTGGTTACAATCATGCTTATAAAATATGGGGAAAACCAGTGGAATGCAGACCAATGCTTACTCATCTTACAAACAGTTGGAGAGGGATGTGGATAGGAAGACAGAAGTACCTTGAGAGCATTAACACGTCATTACACTYGTTTTCCCTTCCTTTGATAATTTAAGATSGATTTTGCTTTTCTGTGAAACTTGRTGTTTCATCTGGATTATTGGTAGTGCCTCACAGGCCAAAAATCCAGTTAAGTTGATGGAAACATTTTTATTAAAACTCAGTGGCTCAAGGTGAAGCCTATTTAGATCAGTTTTAGATATGGATGGTAAATAAGAATAWCAATGCTCCCAGACTTGGTAAAACMAAAAAAGAATCCACTTCCGAATCCACTTAGTTAACYCAATAAAAGAAGCTCGGCAGTGATCTGAAAGCTTGTTTACGTTTTTAACACTGGTTTATATTGAAACCAAAAACCGTAGCTAAGTTCATTACTTTACAGAAGTTCTCCTTTCACTGTTACAATGTAAAAGGCACTTCTTGAATGCTGTAAAATGGTAAGAATGTGTGTTTTGAAATGGTGTGCTGTTTTCCTTTTACTAAACACTTGTGCAGTTTTTGTACTTGAGTACAGSAAACTTTAACGTAATGTACATTTTGTATGTAAAGACTTGTCTTTTAAGTAGCCTTATCCTATTTAAATAAATTAAAAGCAAACAAAGCAGTGCTGACTTGTTTTTGTGATGTAATTAAGCATTTTCATTTCATACAGTTGTATTTCAGTGCACTTGAAGTGATCAGCACTTAAAGCTTACAAGGTAAAAGGGTCAGTAGCTGCTTTGCAGCTGTAGCAGCAGTTAGTGTCATGTACTGTTTTTTGCACTAGTGTAACAGTCTGGTGGGAATTCTGTTTTGTGGTTGGCTTCTTGTCAGTGCTCTAGAGTCTGGGATGTATTTTATATAGTTCCAGTTGCTAGGAGCACGTGTGTTTGTGTGTTTTATGGAGGGATATGCAGAACTGTGCTGGAATAATAGCGTGATGCTGCTGTTACATAGTAGCAATCCTGTTTTCAGGCSGGGATGCTTTCCAGCCTCATCATGTTTCGCCCACTTTTCCCCAAAGCTGGGGCCATTTGTAGCACTTGGGAGGCAACATGTAAGCCATGCTGCTCCTATTGCCTTCTTAGAATCATCAAGGTTGGGAAAGACTTCAAGATCATCTAGGTCCAACTTTCCGCTGAATTTCACATGCACACTGAATTAGATCATGAAGARTCATGTCTACTGYTTTTTTGAACACTTCCAGGGTGATTCCACCATTCCCTSGGAGCCTGTTCCAGTGCTTTATGACATCMAGTAAAGAAAATTTTCCCTATATCCAGCCTGACAATTTGAGGCCGTTTCCCCTTGTCCTATGGCTAGTTGTCTGAGAGAAGAGGCCAAGCCCCACCTTTGCTACGATCTTCTTTCAGACAGTTGTCAAGAGCAGGAAGGTCTCACCTCTGCCTTCTTTTCTCCAGGATAAGCAACCCCCAGCTTCAGCCCCTTYACCAGCTCCATTRCCTTTCTRTGGACATACTCCAGCACCTCAATGTGCTGCGAGTAGTGAGGGGACTAAAACTGAACACAGGACTCGAGATGTGGCCACTTATCAGTGCCTTTAGCTCAARGTAATCTTTCTTCTATCAGCAGAGTATTAGAGCAGAGCTGCAGTGTGCTGGGGAATTGGCAGACCCCAGAGGAGAGAGAGGGAGTGAGGTGTTTGCCCTCCTTTTGGAGGTGTGCATATAAGAGTGATTTTTGTTGCTATTTGCTGTAGCTTTCATCATAGAGTGAAATCACCAAGGGTTAGCATTTAGCCACTTAATGAATTCTGATTAGCACAGTGTGCACTTCAAAAATGTCACCCAGCCAACTTCTTAAAATGGCTTGCAATAAACTAAACCTGATCTGATACATCTATTTAGCTTGTAGAATCAATGAGAAGGGAATGACCTGTGAGCGCTTTGCACTTGGTACAAAGAAACAAAGTCAAGAGTGGTGGCAGAAACTAGGACCAAAATTTCCCTACCTAACTAAACACTAAGTACATCCCTAAATCTTATGTTCACATCCAAAGATTCCTGTTGGAGGTGTGACATATTTCTTTCCTCCTTTTTCTGGACACAAATGAATTCCATCTCAAAGATGTACTGGGACCGTAATTTGCATAACGTGGCCATATTTCTTGGAGTTTGCTTTGGAAAAAGGTTTACCTTCCTTTGTATTGTTTCCTTTTGATGTTATTGTCTTGCCAGCRTGCTGTTGTTGACTGTTGCCTCTGAGGCAAACATGTAGTGGAAATTATGCTACAACAAAGGGTATTACGTATCCCAATAGAGAACAAAATTAAAGAATGCCCTACTATAGAATTTTCTAACTTTCGCAAAGATGAATGTCTTTTGAGTTGTCTTGACCTCCTTACTTGCTGAGAAGAAAAATATTTTGGGTTTGAGATTAGAGCCTATGAACACATTTTTATCATCTGCAGTCAGTTCAGTGTTTTTACACACTTGTTCATTTTTGATGATAATTTTCCCACTGACTTCAATTAGTAGAAGATTATGTTGTAAAGCACGGGCCTTCTGAGAATTGTCTAAACTTCACAYCCCCAAAAACTGGGTGCAAAAGGGGCTGTGTTTGTATATATTGTGTTTCTTCAGAATGTGAAAGAATTTTTGTAAATATGTAAATACAATGAAGCCACAATCACAGTTTTGTTTTAAACAATTTTATTTTGAAAAATACAATGTGCAGTGTAATGTCAACTAACTGTAATACTGACACCGTCAATCAGAACTTGTACTTCACACAATGATCAGCTAGTCATGCAATAAAATATGTACCTGTCATGAAGCACTCCCACTTCCACTGTTTCATCGTTATCTCTTTATAGCATGTCACAAATCCATGTACGTTAAAACACATTCTACTTTTGCAGCCTTTTACAGATTTGACAGCACACTCTACTCACATAGCTCAAGAGCACCTGGATGAGGCCAGCCTTATTGGAATTGARTGGCCTTTGCCATTGATTTCAGTGGGCTGAAGGCTTCACCCTGAATATYCACCKATRAATGTGTKGTGTGTGGCCTTTGTAATCATTTAACTGTATCACTTGCWTGTAACTGGAATATTTCTTAGGAAAAAGAAACCCTTAAAAATAGTACGTTATGTCAAAAACAGCCTAATAATTTTACATCATGGGTTTTGCATTAGTTTTTGTTATTGATAGAAATCTTAAACAAGAACACTGCCATTAAAGATTTTCAAGTTGTTTTCTCTCCAGATTTGGAGAATATAAAGAAAAAGATTAAGTAGTGTTAATAGTACAGTGAGACACAGTGGCRAAGCTAGTTCTGAACAGCTGTGTGTTTCAGACTATATATTGCAAGCACCAGTTTCTTCCTGTCTTCCTCACCTCTTAGTTTGAGTTTTAAATATCCTTCCCACATTCAGGGCAAAAGATGTCATCCCTTTCTGTGAGGAAGCCACGACCCACCAGTGAAAGGGAGCACTTCTTACAGTTAAAGCAATCATTATGCCACTGCCGTTCTTCAAAAGAGATGTACTTGGTTCCTCCGAGTCCTGTTTGAAAAGCAAAATTGTTCTGTTACAAGAAAAGAAGAGCAGGTCAGCCATCAGGTGATGCAGACTGACCTGGAGATCTGACATACAGTGGTGAAAAAATGCCATTGTGACAAATCTGTCTGTGCAAATTTTGCTGCCTTTATTCTGTACTGACTAATATTTTCATCCTCAAATACTTCCATTGCTTGCAGCAAAGTCAATGAGCAAGGCTGTTATCCCTAGGGATAATGGCAGAARTGAACTTCTGAGGGATGGCCCTGCAACATACAGTAGAAGAAAGGCAAAACACCTGCCTCTGAAAGCAAAGCACCTGCCACCTTCTATCAGAAGTTTGTTTTTTACAGAATGTTTTATGGCATCTGAGTATATTAATTTTTGTTTTGTAGAAGTGCATTTAGATAATTGTAAAAGAAGTCTGTTGTGTGTCATGACTTAATTCATAGCTCTGAAGGAGGAATGCCTCAGGAAAAGAAGCAGGTCAGTAAGAAAGCATTCCAGAGTTTGAGGCTATGGCAGTTATCATAAGGTGTACAAAAAAAAAAAAAAAAAAAAAAAAAAAAAAAAAAAAAAAAAAGGGAAAAATGTCTTAGTAGTAATTGTCTCTTGCTTAACCTCAAAAATTGCTAGCTGGGGTTCTGTGAAAAGATTTAGCTGGGCATATCTCATACCAGGTGAGACTTTTTGTTCCGTTTTGACTTTAATAGCACCTCAACACAGAAAACCATCATGAAATGTAAAGACACCAGCCATGTAAGACCTACCACTGATTGGGTTTGTGCACCCAGCACACTTTTTGGCGTAGAGGTTGCAGAAGCAGCTCAAGCAGTATGCAAACTCATCCCTGGAGGTAAAGCGCTGTCCAGACAGCTGCTTCTTGCATCCAGTACACACGAAGCACTCCTTRTGCCAGGGCTGCTCCCGGTAGGTAACACCTCCTGAGGTGATAGCCTGTTTTAGAGAAAAAAAGACAAGAAAGAGTTCTCTTAAGGGTGGCAGGTTAGTATTTTGATKTAATAAAGAGGAAGAGTGATGAGATTTTAGAGGGTGGGAGGAGGGGAAGAAGGCTTAACAACAGCAAGATCATAATTTTGCTTGGAGTTGACCTTGAGAAAATCATGCAAGTGCTTTATTGTAATTTCCTAATTTATAAAAAGAAGTCCCATACTAAAAGCTCTTTATTATGCATATATTTTAAAATCTCACTCTCAGCTGAGCTCTGTTTTTCAACTACTCTTTATATGTTGCTTTTCACMTGCATGTGCAAGAATTTGTCTCATAATTGTTACTTCACCTGTCCCTTTCTTCATGGTGAAAGAATTACCTGRTGTGTTTCAAATTTCCTGTTACTCTCTTTGAGAAAGACTGGTTTATTTAATATTTTAAAGTAAGTATTTACTTTCTGCTTCTCCAGACTTCATCAGGGAGTTTTCTCTTGCAACAAATAACTGAAATTATATTGTCTCTTAAAACCAGCTAATTCTGAATCTTTTTAAACATACAAAAATGAGATATTCTACCTACTTGGATATGAAATGGGATGGACTTCAATGCCTTAGGTTTCAGGTAAGCAAAGTAAGAGCACTACCTTCTTGCACTGGACGCATTGCATGGCAAACTGCTTTTCATAGCAGGGCACACAGAAGTTTTGATTGTCCTTAGGGATGAAGCTCTTTGTCCCAATAGGCTGTTGGCAGCGGCAGCAGATAAAGCAGGTCTCGTGCCAGCTGTTGCCCTTGTATTCCATCTTGCGAGTACCTGTAACGAGACCAGAGCATCAACTGCACTTCTGGATGAGAGAGGTGCAATTTGCAGCTCTTGTTTGGCTGGCAGCTGGCTGTCAGTCAAGAAGCATTGCAGCTATGAGCTAGAGGCTGTTTCATGTTCCTACCAGCTTTGGTACCATTTTAGGTTTTTGGAGAGCATTTTGAAGTTTTTGGTTCTTCTGTAAAGAAGAGAAACATTTATGGCAAATAAGTATAGCTTAGGATAGCTTTTTGTAGTATTAAAAGGCAAATAATGAAATCCAATGCACAGGAAGATTCAAGGGAATTGGAATGGAACCAATAAAAGAAAAAAATTCAAACAATCCTTTACTGAAAAGCAGTAAAGTGGTATGGTAGTTAGGAAATGAATGCACTGCTCTAGGACAAAGTTTTAGGGTTCAGATAGTGTGCTCTGCAGATTCAGTCCACTGCATGGCTGGTGGATTCTGAGCCTTTCCAGGAAATTGGAGATACCCTATTAATGGATAAATTTCTTTGCATGTGGTATGATTTCTTATGTACTTGCTGGAGTCAGAATATTTAATACTGGCCAGAAGGATAAACAAACAAATGTTGTTCCTACAGTTCTGCATCACTCTTGGAGCCATAACAGCAAACACAAAGTCAAATGCTTGGAAGACTGACAAGCTGATTGAGTTGGCTAATGATGAAGAACCACACTAATGCCTGTGATGCCAATTCTCCCCACCCCTATCACTGCAGGGTGAAGTTTTACCCTTTTTCCCCTTCTCAAGCATTAATTCATCTTTGTTTACAAGTTGCATATTTTTCTTCTTTTATGATCTCATTAAATTTTGCTGAGAGGCATGCTCCAGGATTTATTTGGTGGTTTGTTTTGGTTGTTCTTTTTTTTAAATTGACTTGCATAAGTGAACTGTAAATTATCTTTCTTTCTGATGCTTACGTACTTCAATATTTCTTTTCCATTCTTTTAACAGACACCTTCTAGAAATTATGCTCTCTCTGTGCTGGTAACTTTCTATATCATGCCAAGGATCAGTCCTTAAAGGAATAATGTTTTGGAAAAAGGAGATGTAGGTAATTCTTTTTAATAGTCTAGAGTTTTATTTTCACATTTTCAGCTGTGCTCTCTTCAGGATGGTGTTGTCGCTGAAATTCAAAGCAGGGAGAGCCCTGTTTGTTAGCTGCTTGACTGAAGTCAGCATGAGTTGAGTTTGCAGGAGAACAGAAAGAMCAAGCTTGTAATCACTTAAATGGGCACATCATGATAAGGCTTCATTAAGTCTATGTTGTATATTTAGTGGAGCAAAGAAAAGAGCAAATGTAGCATTAACAGTCTCCACAAAGGGTATCCAACCACTTGATGTTTTTTTTCCAAAATTAACTATGCTTCCCCTGGTGACCATACTCCTCTGCAGTAGTTCCTGTACTACCTCGGTGTGCTGTGTAAGTAGGAAAATCATGCTGAGTATGTACTGTGCTTCCAATGTGGTGACACCTCAGCTATAATGGGTAAGCAGCCAAAGACCAGTGGTTAGTTGTAAAGCTTATAAAAATTAATTTCTTCCGTTTTGGGTCATAACAGAAGGGATTCTCTGTGTCACTGAATCTGGCCTCCATTACTACATGTTAATGTGTAGCTGGCATAATAGACAAAAAGAGATCCATTCAGTAAATCACTGATGATGATGATGAATCTGATGAACAATGTTAAAAATAAATACATATAAAATTATAGAATAACTTCGGTTGAACGGTACCTTTAATGATCATCTAGTCCAACCCCCTGCAATAATCAGGGACATCTTCAACTTGATCAGATTGCTCTAAACTCCATCCAAACTGACCTTGAATTTTTCCAGGCATGGGGCATCCACCACCTCTGTGGGCAACCTGTTCCAGTGTTTTACCTTATTAACCTCATTGTAGAAAACTTATTCCTTATAACTAATCTAAATAAACTCTCTTTTACTTTAAAACTATTATGCTTTGTCCTATTGCAACARGCCCTGCTGAAAAGTTTGTCCCGCTCTTTGTTATAGATCCCCTTTMAGTACTGAAAGGCTGCAATYAGRTTTYCCCAGAGYTTTCTCTTCTTTAGGCTGAACAATCCCAACTCTCTCAGCTTCTCTTTACAAGAGAGGTGCTYCAGCCCTCTTTGTGGCCCTCCCCTGGACCTGYTCCAACAGTTCCATGTTCTTCTTATGTGGGGGTTCCCAGAGTTGGATGCAACACTCCAGGTGGGATCTYTCAAGAGTAAAGTTAAGGGGCAGAATCACTTCCCTTGACCTGCTGCCCACRCTGCTTTGGATGCATCCCAGGATACAATTTGCTTTCTGGGATGTAAGTGGACATTCTCTGWCATGTAGTTACAGCTTTAAAGCTAGCACTGGCTATTCCCAAGCAAGTCAGTTTTCATTTCTGTGTCAGCAAAGTGGGAGCACATGGAATAATAGGAGATACCTAAACTCAATCATGAATAGATAGGGTAATCTGCTTTTAAATATTGTTRTTCCTATTTATAAGTCTTATTTCATTATCAAGCCTTCATTTTTACACCCTAGGAGCAAAATGTTGTGGTTTTCTCCTTTTATCTAAGATGATAAATGTCAGAACCAGCTCACAAAATAACTAGTGATCATAATGGAGAGTGTACAAGGATTCTTCAAATTGGTTTTTAATATTTTATTTCTGCTCTGATAGCAATTTGACTTTACAGCCCTCAAATCATCACAGAGTGCTATAGTATTGACATGAGAAGATGAGGTTTTAGCAATCTATTACTATACCTCATGTTTCACGTTGAAAAAGAAAATCGCTCTTTCCCATTTATTCATATCTTTGTGCTCAAGAAAGACCTCAGAGACACTTTGACCAATTTTTCATTTGTCTGAGAGAGGCTAAATTTGGAGTAATTACACAAAACCCTAAATTTTGAATTAAGTAAGCTGTTAAATTTGCAAGCTGTTTTCTGTTTTCAAGAAGTGAAAGTCAATCAAGAAGAATACAAAGTTGGGATTGGACAGAAAGATCAATATTAGTTTTACAGGCATCGAAAGCCTTTTAATGAATATTGCTAGGAAAAAAATATAAATCTCATTAATAAAAACGCTACATAAAGAATGCTAAATAAAAATGCTAAATAAAAAAAAAAAAGTTAATTTTCAAGAACAGTCTGTTTCACATGAGTAGCAGTTCTGCCATGAGCCTTTATGAACATTGCTTGCTGTGGTCATGGAAGTGGCTTAGAATGCAGCTGCTTTTTACACAGTTCACCATGATTTAGCAGAGGCATGATTTAGCCAAGGAAAAACATTTCTCACAAATGTTGCTGAGTTTGGGCTTGATATTTGGTCCTAAAAGTGAGTATCCTAACCTGGCATAATAGTCTTCTTGCACTCATTGCATTTGGAAGAGTATTCRTTGGAGTAGCAGTCAGTACAAAGCAGATGTTCCTCTTTTGCAGCAAAAGGTTTGTCCACCAGTGAATTCTTGCACTGGAAGCAGTGGAAGCAGCTTTCATGCCARTGGCGCTCCTTGTAAGACAGATCCTGTAGAAATCCAAAACCACAGAGTGAGTGGAATGAACAGCTTGCACAACTGGAAGCTCAGAGGATGCAAGCACATCCAAATCTGAACTGCAGCCAGGACCTGGGGCTAATTTGCACTGCTCAAGAAACAAAATRTTCCAACAAAGGTGAACTTCTTTTGCTRTGATAACCAAGAGCAGCTCATGATKACTATCAACCCTTTTTCAGTTCAAGGTAACCTTTTCTGTACATGACAGAAAACAACTAGTTTCATTTACATATCTCCTTTGCAAATACAGCCCCACTTTTGAGACAGATTGAAACTTGTCAGCCTGATAGACTGATAGTCTGATAGTATGATAGACTTCCCCTATTTGCCTCAATTACTGCTGATTTCTGGTTCATTTCACATATCATATATATATATATTTCATATATTCTCCTGAACAGAATCTTTTTTTCCTTATTTGCATTTAGGTATTTTTTCCCACAGATTTACACCAAGAGTGGAATTGATCTGATCTCTTTGGTTTTTTTTGGTTTTTTTTTATTACAATAAATTTTTAATGACTCTTGTGTTTTTATTTACGTGTATTTCAGACATGGTTTAGACTGAAAGTTGCAAGGCCACATTGTACCTGCATCCAGTGATCCAGAATAATGGCCAAGGGATAAGTGTGGGCATGTCAGTGTTTAAAGTACTCTCCACATTGGTTCCTTTTTCTGTTTATAAGAAATAGTGCTTCTCAAAATTGTGACTTCAAGCGATGGATTATGCTTTCTAAAATTTAAATTGGGGKGGTTTAATCACATAACAATTGAACAGTGTCTTTGGACTTCAAACACAGCAAAGCTTGGAGCATTACAAGACACAGTGTCTACCCTGAAATATATTTGCTCTGGTTTGGGTTGGGAGTGTGAAAAGCTAGGATTGTCATTGAATACAGAGTATAAAAAATTCAGCAGAAATAACTTCTCAGGCACTAGTTTAGTGCAGACAYTAAACTAATCAGATTTACTGAAGGAAAAGTGTGAATGGTAGAACATCAGGTTTTTCAGTTGTGGAAAGCTTCACAAATGGTTCATACCTGCTCTGGCCTAAGCTGTGCTGTGTCAGTCAGTACAGTCACAGATAACTCCAAATGTGCAGCCTTACCCACAACAAACAAAAGATACCATGGATTTAGGTTAACCTAAAATAACATTGTGTCTTCAGGAGCCTTGCTGTCATAAATAGCTATCAGRAAATACTGAAATAGTTTCATCCAGCTCACATGATATGTGATAGCTTGTGAAACTTTAGTAATTGCTGTCAGAATCTGACCATSGAATTAAGCATTTTTATTTGGATGTCTGTGCTACTCACCTAAATGTTTTCAATCATTGTGAGTAACAATTGRTACCTTATGTGTCCTTCATCTCTGAGATTGCAATCTGGGATAGAATATCKAAGACTCCTACTTTACAACTCTCAGACAGTTGTTTATTCATCTCATCTATTCATTTCAGCTAATTCCTGTTGAAACAGCACAAACCTCTGACTGCAGAATTTTAATATTTTTAATAGCAAATTCAAACCAATCATCTTTGGAAGTTATTTACATTTTTTTTTCTCTTTAAGTGAAGTTAAATAGCCTAGTTAAGAATAGCCTAAATCTTATCTCATATTATATTTTCAACTGAAAAATATAATACACAGCCAGCGGTGTTTTCCAAAATGTAAATTTTCCCTTCTAGAAAGTAAAACAGCAGATCTAGTTTTCTTTCTCTTGTAACATGATGTATTCTATTATTTTCCTCATTTGCTGACATTTCCTCTTTTTGCAATTTTCAGCAAGTTATTTTTTAAGTATCCAAAATTCAGGTGCTGATGTCTGCTTATTTTATCAATGAAATTATAACCTGAAGAAGGTGCATGCCTTTTAGAAGAGGAGTAATGAAGACAAAGACAAGGTGTCAATGATGAAAGATTTGATCCCTGARTTAGTTATGACAGCAAGATTTTATAGGCAGTAGCTGGGTAGGTGACAGTAGCACATATTTCATCATGATCAAGTGGTGAAGCACAACTACAACAAAAAGTACCCAAGATAAAAAGTGGATTGAATAATCTTTAGCTACTCTGTATTACTGTAACAAATACTGTCATTAAATAGAGAGAGAGTCTAAGATGTCTGACTTTGACAGCAGAATATTAGACTGATGAAGTGGATATTGCTCTGTCTCTGAATCTGTCACACCTGAAAGCAAGGAAGTCCAAGGTACAGATGAAACCATTTATGCATCATGAGTGTTCTCAGGTGAGTGCAATACAGTCATTGAAAAGGAGTTTTGGTCTATTTAAGCATTTAAATTACTGTTTCAATTATTTATATTACTGGAACCTTTGGCTTGTCCATGAGCTGAGATGTATTGATCTGGAGCAGATTCTACACTGGAAAAGCATGTACCAAAACTGACTCAAAACTTTCTGAATGTCAGGCTGGTCTTCTGTTAAGCTGAAAGAACATCAGATTTAGTCTAGGCATGCTAGCTGATTGTATCCCYGATAAATCTGTTCCAGCAGAAGGAACAAGTGATCTACAACTAATTCCTGGTTTATTTTCACTTATCTTCATCATACAAAGAAAACGTTGGCAAGACAACTGTTAACATTGGCGMGATTGTGTTTTACAGCTTCTCCATAGCTCTGTGTGGTTTTGCTCCAGCATGGTTTGTTTGGCCTCCAAGGAGGGACTGAAGGTGACTTTTTAAAAGTAGAAAAATGGGTGTCTTAAAAAAAAAAAAACCGAAGACTCACTAAGATTAGGGTTATCAGGTGACTGGGTGAAGCTTTGGCTCCTCATATCCTGGATCTATATTTTCTTCTACTCAAGCTTTTTAAGTCTCAGCAAACTGAAGCCATTATGCATTACCATTTCTTTTCAACTGGGTTTCAACAGGGACCCAGTAGGAAGAAGGAGATTAGAGAGTTTATTACCTTAACAGTAACTGTATATGTTGCTCCTGAAAGAACATTAAGCTTTTTTGCCTGCCACAATGATCTTTTCAGGAGGTTTAATGTAGGAAATGGGCTATGCCAACAAAATGTGCAGATTTTAGCTATGCACAACCTGTAGCAAAACACTTAAGTATGTTAGATTGGCACATACCTATYAGAAACACATTGAGAAAAGGTAAAAACAAGAGATATTGTGCTGARCTCAACCCCTTAGGGGTATGAGAAKWTATTAAGGTATYCACCTCTTTTACCATTTCAATTAGTCTGAGATTGAGTAACATGCTGAAAAAGTGTTGCATGTTGGGACAGGGTTTAAACATTAAAAATGAGAAAAATAATTATTTTATCCCTTTCC